ATATAAGTTAAAGTTCTCTGTGATCGCTTTTACAGTATGAAGCATAACTTAAATTTGTAAAATAAAACAGTATGGATGGTTAATGCAACAGTTATGGACAGAGGGTCCAGTGATGGACATGTTGGACTTTAAATGTAAGTAATAAGCTTCTAGATTGTTTTCAAGTGTGTTTTTTAGATTGAAAAACAATGTCCTCTAATGACAACTGTATGGACAGTCCTCAAAAGAAAATTTTAAAATGGCTATCATTGTTGTTTCTATAGTGCTCTTGAGATCAATATGTTTCATACCTTCCTACTAAGAGTTTTGCTAAGATTATGTTTAAAATTTATGGAGTGTTGCCATTTTAGCATCCTCGTGCCTCGCGAAGTCGATTTGAATCCGGTCTGGAAGGGGTTGACTTTTATTTCGTGGTGGATCCACGGAATGAAACTCGACCCCCTCCCTCCCTCTCCCACTCTGATTAGAATAGGCTTTGTTGTACCTCTAGAAAAATTAGGAACTGTAATTCACATATGTAACACCATTTACCTCTCCTCTATTTCCCTTGTTCAGACATAAGTGCTATTTAGTCTATACAATAAATATTACTACAGCTAATAATGGAAGATCATTTAATAAATCATATATGTGAAGACATTAATAATTTAATATTTTTACTATTTTGAACTTAGTGTGAATTATCTAAAATCTGAGGAGGAATTCTTATAAATTGAGTAAGTTGTTACATTGTTGACACTTTTGTATTTTTTAATACCTTTTACTTCAAGATAAAAGAATTTAATTTATAAAAAAAAACATTTCAGGAGTTAATAACACCAACAAAGTCTGTTCTAAAACTTGTTTATATAGTTTCTCTTCTCTTTTGGAGCTTTTTGTTTTTTAATAATAATGCTTAATTTTTTTTAATATAAATTATATCATGTCAAAATGATAAATTACATGTTTGTGGTTGCAGTAACCTTACACATGACATACTAGTGGTTTGAATGCTATTTAGGAAATTGAAATTAATTTTTATTGTAGGAAAAACCTACATAAGATATAAATGAAAAACTAGATTACAATCATTAAAAGTACAAGAAAAACAAAATATAATTTATATACAAACGAAAACTATCATATTCACACAACACATATATATATACATATACACATACATTATATAAATACAATTTATTAATTGGGATGATTGTTACTTATTAATAGAATCCATTAAATTTTCATAAATAAACAGATTGATTTAGACGTTTAGTAGTATGTGTGTATACCGTTTCAAAGATGTCTGGTTATAGTTTTCTATTGTTCGGATCATAGGGTTTTCAGACGTTGGTGTTACTTCAAAAAATCTTTGAGTCTTAAAATAAATATATTGTTTTATAGTGGAAAGCTGCAACTCTGATAGCATAATAGATATTTTGGTATGATGTGGATAATTGTTTATGATTCTCAAACACATATTTTGAATCACTTCAAGTTTTTTGTAATTAGTCTCGCATGTGTAACTCCATACTGGAGCAGAATAAGTGATTAAAGGGCGGATTATTGTTTTATATAAAATCAGTTTATTTTTTGTATTCAATTATGAATATCTATTAAAATATGGTGGCATTTTGCTGATCATGTTTTTTGCACTTGTTAATAATATGTTGGGTGAAATTTAGGGACCTAAGTTCTAGGTCTAAATACTTCACGGAGTTAGACCAAGGGATCTGTACTTCTTTTGTGTGTATATTATAGTTTATGCGTGGTATTCTTTTTGAAAAAATAATTGCTTCAGTTTTTTTATCATTTATTTTTATTTTCCATTTTTCAAAATACTTGCAGAGTTTTATGAGTTGGAACTGTAATCTGTTAGTTATAGTGTCGATTCTGAAAGAAGTGATTTTTAGATATCTGTATCATCTGCATATAAGGAGTATTCTACTGAAGGAATGAAAAAGTCTGAGATGTATAGGCTGAATAGTGTAGGAGAAAGATAGGAGCCTTGAGGGAGACCTGCAGATAGGAAATGGATTTTCTTTATTGTATTGCAAAAGGATTTATTGTTGAGATATGAGTGAGGGAGGTGAGAATTTATATAATTTTTGGTACTATTTCTTTTATTCATTATAGACTGAGATGACAAATAACATTCCTCTTTACGAATTTCAATGTATTAAGTTACTTTTTATGTTAATAAAATATGAGTTAAAAATTTCTTTATTTCTTAAACTTCATATCATTGTTCTATAATATTTTCTCCAACAGAAACCTAAGTTACAAATAAGAATGTGATTCCTATCGGAGACATTAAAAATCCTTTTTAAACATATTTGTAACGAGCATTATATTTTTTTAGTTAGTCATGTCTATTGATAAGAATTTAAAAAATATATATATATATATATACAATAAAGTAATGAATTAAAATAAAAATCAAGGGATTGATATACTCAAAGATGAACTAAAAAAGAAATTAATACAATAAAATAATAATTTAGCTTGAAAGTCCATTTTCAAAAGTATTGAAGAAAAATAAGTGAAATTTTGCCAGTTTTTCTAACATAATTATAAAATACCAATGGTCCCATTATGTAAGAAAAATACAAATCGTTCAGCTGAAGGATTAACAGTGGTATATTGCTTGTGGCCGACAGTAACAACATCGTTCTTAGGTATGACTCTTAATAATTTTATTTTTAATTTGTCATGTATATATTAGGGTATAACTTCCAGTTTTCGGCACCCCACCTAGTTTTTGTCACCAACTGCAGTTATTGAAGAATATTCAGCGTTTGGAATGGTCTAGGTCTGGCCTAAGTAGGAATCCCTCTTGCGCTTGTATATTCTAGCATTTCCCACTATTTATTTAGTTTTATGGGTTGAAAATATTGCAGAAATTTAAAAACCTGACAGGTGTCGCCCAGGAAGGATGTGTTATACATTTTTGGCAAGAAAGACACATTCCTTCACAATATCATTGTGGTTCTTTTGCCAACTTTACAAGCCTACTCCATCTCTACCTATTTATTTCCATTTACCTAAATGCAGCGTCTATTGCATCTTTGTTGATTTGCCTTAAGTAATAAAAAATAAAATAGTAATTTTGCTAAACAAAACACTTGGTTTTTCAAAATTAACAAATATGGGACCATACCACTTTCATTGTAACCAGCTCATTTGATGATTCAAATAATAATAATAATCAATTTGATTTCAATTATTTTTAAAGAACTATAAACAAGTACAATATGAAATAATATAATAATATAGTAACAAATATTATAATAAAAGAGCCAAAAATAGTTTAATTTAAAGAATGATAAACATGCTGAGTTCTGATGGAACAATTATTAATATAATAATGAACTATTAAAATATTGCATCCTTGAAATTAAAATTAAAAAAAAAACTATACTGTAATGAAGCGATTTCAGAATGGTACTGGACAAACAAATTTGATCAAGGGTGTTCTAGGAAAAACACTAGCAAGATGTATGAAAAAAGTATTTTGTATGTAAAAAAACATGAATAACAATATCACATAGAATTCTTAAAATTAAAATTAGGCCAGATTGGGAAGACCTGGTTCACTAAATATTGCAAATTTATTTGTTAAACATCTCCATGTACAAAACAGAAATATCACAAATTAAATACTGCATGGAATTTTATAAATACATTCGGTTGGATATTTTCCCCTAAATATGAAAGAATTTATAACAAAATTTTACAGTAAAAAAGGGGAAAACATTTTTTTTTAATGTAACTGTGATTGATTTTAATCAAAATATTCGGGGCATGATAATGATTACAATTTTATAAGTACGAAAATAATACTGTATTAAGCCTAACAAGTCTACCAACACTCATTCAATTCATAATTAAGACACAGTAATTTCAATAAGCCCACCAAATATCATTGATAGCCTAATTTAAATAAAAAATTATAAATCTCTACCTTTTATTCATTAACATGAAAAAAATAACAAAAAAAATATGAAAAACTCCGGCCAAAAACACTTCTCAAACCAGAGTCTGAAGATGAAGGTTCAAAACTAAATTTATGATTATTAAATTTTGTTATTTTGGTCAACGAATGTATTTTTTATTCTGTTAATATCAATATATGTATATATTTTCAATACTCGAACAGAGTTGTTTTTCAAAGGAATCCATATTTTGTCTATTTTTCTCTCTCCTGCTCAACAACATAGATGGATACGTCTGCACATTAACATTTGAAAAATGAAAATAACCTAATAAATGCAAATTACAGGGAGTATTGAAGCTGTGAAAAGGTTTCTATTATACTTTAAAATAACAGTGATGATGCGTAAGTAAATTACATATACTATATTATTACTTTTTTTATTGAATACAAATTAAAATAACGAAAAGAAAAAAAGGAATGAGAATGAAAACTAAAACAGAATTTTAAAAAAATTAAAAATAATAATAAACAAAGCAGTATCACAGCTTAAAATAATAATACTATAAATATAATTCGAAATAGCTTGTTTCTAGCTCCCAGACTGAGCTTATGTACATGTTTTTTCTAAATAACATTTGAAATGGTCTAAAGTAAATCGACAGTCCGTCTACTTGAAAGGAACAAAAGAAAAAAATGCAAAGTTAATAATAATCAACTTAAGCATAATTAAAAGTAAAACCCAACACAATCCGTCCAAAGTTGGAACTGATGAGTAAAGATATATTTTTAATAACTTTAGACGGATATTAACAAAATTTTAAACAGAAACATATATCTATATATACCAGTTTAAACCATATACTATATATATATATATACCATATGTCTAAGTATATACCAGAGTAAAAAAAAAATAAACAAACAAACAAAAATTCATACCATATCACAGTGTTCTGTTATTGAAAATAAATACAAACAAAAATTAAAATCTAAAGTACAGATGATGAAGATCAGGTTAAAATATAATCCTAACATTACTTTTAAAATTATTAATATATAGTCAATTTCTTTGAAAAATATCACCAAAATATTTTGTATCAATACACTTACAAACAAATAGTCTAAATTAAATCACTTTTAATTATTTCTATTTATGACCATAAAATCGATTCTTTATTTTTTTTTTTCAATCTTATCAGTTATTGTAATTTATATACATGCGCATCAATTCCCATTCAAATACGCAGGGAAAAAAATCTCTGAAATAAATTAAAATAACTCATTAAAATCCTTGAGCTTTCATCACAATCATTGAAAAGACTGAGGAGGTCATGGAAGGTTTTTGTCCAGATAGCACATCAAAATTAAGAAAACTCTATATACTGAGGAAAATTATCACAAGTTTTCAAAGAAGAAAGAGCAGCCAGGTTTCAGGACTTCACTGAGGGTAGCCTGAATTCTCTTCTAATATAAAATAGGATATAAGGTTTGCATTTGGCAACTACATCAATTTCAGTAGGCCGAACCATACTATCATTGAAATGGAACCACTGACCTGTAATAAAAATAAAAATTTATATTAGTATAAATTTTATAAGTAACTGATACCTCTGGAATGGTTAAAAAATAATAAAAAAAAACACGGAAACTACAAAAAAATTATTATTAAAAAATAGTCTATGGCACAGGACCCCTTTATATCAAATTATTAACATCTGCTTAAAACCTGAATAGCTTCACATCATCCTACAACTTTTTTATTTAAGAAAATTCTCGGAATTGTGGGCATTTTTAATTTGGAGATTGGCACCATACTTTGTCTATTTAATTCGGTATTAAATAGACACTCATGGGCACCTATTTGCTTACCACTTAAATAGATAATTTGAACATAAAATCAACAACAAAATTATTATGATTTGCGTTGCAGTAGCCTGCATGACCCTGTAGTGTCATGAGGTATTGTTAAAATAATTAATATTCCGTTGTATGTGGTATAATGTGATATGGTTTTGTTGTGATAATGTTATATTATATTAATGTGTTCTATTATATTACATCATATTGCGTTAAGTTGTATTATGTTATATTATTTAATGGGTAATATTCCTTTCTGGCTAATGTGTTTTGTGTAACAAAAAAATATTGTTATCAAAGAATACTTTGATTTAAGTATAAGGAATTAATTTACTAATATTATATTGCAATAATTACAATGTGTGCACTCCATTTGTATTTATAGAGGGCCAGTCCCTAAAATTAATAAATATATATTCTATTCTAAATTGAGAATAAAGGTGGCCTATAAAAATATTGGACCATTTGGCATGATCTCCACCCCCCAACATGTCAAAATAACGAAGTTATATAGGCAAATTATCTTACGATTCAAGTGGATAGTAAATGGGTATTTATGAGTTTTTAGTACCTAAATAAATTAATTAAATGGGAAAACACCCCATTTTCTGAGAATTTCTTTAAATAAAAAATTTGTGGATTATAATAAGATGAAATTTTAGAAGAATGTTAATAATTTGATAAAAAGAGGTCTGAATCAATGACTGCAAAACATTGGATTGGAGAACAATGTTCAGATTTCATACAGATAAAATATTAACTTAGCTAATAGTGGTAAAACTACCAGAACAAATCTAAAAGCAAAACAGATATGTATTGCATTTCCAATTACATTTACAGTAAGTAGCTCTAAATTACAGTATGGCTGGTATTAGTCTTATAAAACAACGCATTAAAATTTCAAGCTTACATAATTACCTTTTAGCTTTAACCATCATTCAATATTTTCCTCATAGAATGAATTAAATTTTCTCAAAGAACATCAGTAAGATTTTATTGAAAATTCAGTAATAGAGAAAAGACAGGGGAGAATTATATAGGATTATGATACGCATAACATAGTTAGAGAGCTTACAACAGCAGAACTAGACAGAAGAAAAATACTTTGAGCTTGTAATGGGGTCAAGCGCGTTGAAGTATTAACTTAAACAAACATACTCAAGTTTGGGTAGGTTGATATTTATTTTGTTGTCCATTTATTTTGGACCCATGGAATGAATTTAATAAAGTTCTAGGTTTATAGTAGAAGTTTACCTTTTATTTATTAAAGTTCAAAGTAACCAAAAACAGAGTTCTAAAATAAAAGAAATTAACAGTAATTGGGCTTAGATTAGAATTTACCTTAAATGGATTAACTAATTCTAATATGTCCTTTGATTGAGTAGCAAATAATAAAAGTAATTTTTTTGATAGAATATTTGGCGAAATAAACTAACTAACTTCATTGTGCAAACAGCCCTAGTTGAACTTCAGCCTCACTTAAAATTGATAGCCATTTCTGCTTATATTCCGCCTTCCTTCGCGGATCCCTCTCAAGTCATCCTCTACATTACAAGTTTAGGAAGAAGTGCAAATAAGAGCTTCAAGTATCTAGTAACTGAAGAAAATTATACAAATGCAGAGATCAATGACAGAATAGTACCTGGGAGCAGGTGCCTGTTTGCGCTTAATAAAGCTGCTCAAATTTCAAGTATTGTCTCGAAAGACAAAAATTATTATATACAAGACAATGATAAGACTGGTGGTGACATATGGAAGTGAGTGCTGCGTAAGGACTAAGAAGAGCAAGAGACGATCCTGAAGGTTTGGGAGAGAAAGATCCTCTGAAAGATATTTGGTCCAGTAAACATGGATGGCCATTGGAAAATAAGGAAAAACAGAGAGCTCGAACAGCTCTTTGGAGAGCCTAATATTGCAGCATTCATCAAAGAAGGAAGGTTGCAATGGCTGGGCCATGTTCAAAGGATGATAAGGATAAGAGGCTACCAAAAAAGATTATGAATGGCAAGCCAGGCAGAGACTAGCAGGAAGACCAAGGTTGAGGTGTTGATAAGTTCAGTAAATAATTTGAATACTATACTATTATTTGCTTTTCTCTTTTATAAAAAAAGTTTTATACATAATAAAACCTACATTTAACAATAAACGATAGAATATCAGAGAAAAAAAAATTAATAAAAGAAAAAATCAACAGAATACTTACCGTCATGGATCGCAAAAGCAGTGTAATGTCCACAGCCTGATCCACCTCCATGATGTACAATCACAGCAGCTAAATCATACAAATGGGTTCCAGAACTTCGAGTGTCTGGTAAGTCGCTTAAGACAAACTGTGACATATCTAACGCAATTACTGGGAATGAAATATGAGTATCAACTTTAGTTCGAAAAAAATTATTCCATCTAAATCTCTTCAAATGCAGACATAATACCTAAAATAAAATAAACATGAAATAATTTATACATTTTCTTATCTTTCATCTACACAAACAATAGTGGATTAATAATTGACTCTTTTAGATATTTTGAAGAGAAGTTGGTTGGGGTGTTCAGACAAAAAGTAAAAGTAAATAATTATATTTATTTTGATTTTTGCCGACGTTTCAGCTCAAGGTTCAACCCTTCATCAGGGCTAAGAAACATATGATATGATAGTTTCTCATACCTACCTAGTTCTGCCATAAATACTGTAACAAAAGTTGAACTTTGTTTACATCCTTGGGTATTACTTAGATAATCCTTACCTCTATAAGGTTATTTTCTTAACATGTCAGGATAATAATCCCAATTAGTTTGCATTTTTCTTTCGCTCAGTTAACATGAAGTGGGATGATAAAGAAAACCGAATAGCTGTGATCGCCTTACACAAAGTTGGAAAATGTAGGTCAGAGATTTTTAACATTTTGAAACCTTTGGGTATCAGCAGTATGTTCATGTACCGCACTATAAATAGATATAATGAGACCATATCTGTATGTGATAGACCTCGATCGGGCTGTGAGAACGGCAAATGCAGTTAGAGCACTGGCTCCTCGAATCAGAAGAATTCCCACTCCAAAACAACAAATCATGTCTTGGGAAATGGGAATCTCTGTCAGATCAATGTCTCACATAACAAAAAGTGACCTTAGGATGGGTGCATTTCGAAGAATGATAGGACAAAGGCTAACCACTTCCCTAAAAAAAAATTAGAGTGGATAGATGCAAAGCGCTCCTTGGTCATTATGGTCTTTATCAAAAGATTTTGTTTAGCGATGAGAAAATTTTTACAATTAAATAAATTATTCTCTATTATTACTTAACAGTTATTATCTCTGTTTTATTTCCTCTCCAGATTTTTCCATCCTCTTTCTATTAAACTTTCGTTTAATTATCCATAATACTTATGAGTAATATATCTCTCGTCCATTATTAACGCGTCCGATACTTTAGTTCAAACTTTGTCAGATAACCGTTAGAGATGACGCCACAATACATCTCTTCTCTCCCCCCCCCCTCCCTTGCTACCAGATTCTCATTTCTCCATCAACCTTTTGGAGACAGGTTTGTTTTTTCTTGTTTCTCTTTCCTCCTTCCTTTCATCCCTTTTCTCTATTTTAATTCTTTATTATATTAAACATTGTCTGTAAATTTTGATAGACTTCACAATATCTCAATTTTCAATCTAACTATTCTATTTACAATACCTTAATTTTACATTTATTTTCATTTCTTATATAACTTCATATTCTTTTCTGTTTTACATTTTATTCTAAGATTTCCATTTTAATAACCTTTTTTGATTATGTTTACTTCATCATTTCACACTTCGTAACAGTGATTATTATTTATCTCTTAGTTCTTACTATTGTCATTATTCTAGCAACTTCATTTTACTTCAATTTTTTTACCTACACTACTTATGTTTTTCATACCTTGTTATCTGAATCTTTTCTTAGCCCTGATGAAGGCCTGAACTTCAAGTCGAAACGTCGGCAAATGTCAACATAAATATTATCATTTATTTTTGCCTGCTTATTTGACCGATCACCCCAACTATTCTTCTCTTCATAAAAATAATTTTTTTTAATTCTTGGTATTTCCAAACACTACAATGTTTCAATAAAAAATGTACCAAAAATACATATTCCTTCTCTAAAATACTCTATTTTAGGAAATTAAAAATCTTGCAACAAGCAGCAAAAGCCAATAAATAGTGCATGTTTTTACTAATTAGACGTTATTAAATTCATTAACATATTATTATAGTTAACCCTACCATTTTAAGCGATTCGAACAAGTCTTACGTTTATAATTACAAAAGTAATTAAAAGTAATCATTAAAATACATAACTGTAAGGAACAATTTAACACATGCTTGCCATCAATAAGTTAACAGATTTGTAGAAAGATGACAGTAAAATTCTTAATTCATGAATAAAAATGATTAAATCTATAAATTAAAAAAATGTTTTTTTTTTAGATATATAAGACAAATACCAATTAAATAGGTTAACTAAAAGATATTAGAGATTAGAGAACAAAACCTACATTTGGAAGCCTCCGAATCCAAAACCTTTTAGTAGACCGTTGTTTGCTTTTACAATTACTGCAATAATACAACTCTGTTTCAGCCAGCTCCTCTACTTCTATAAAACTGGTTAGACAATCTAAAAAAAAAAAATATTTATTAAAGTATTTAAATGATATTCTGCATTATAATTAACAATGTCAAAATAAATCTATTACTAATGTCTTCCTTTAGTTGAGAACTGTAGAGACCAGGTGGAGGAAAACAATATTTAAAAATATTAGGAATGAACTGTTGAAAACTTTTATTTCTTGTTTTTCCATGATAAGGGATGTATTACAATAAATATAGTGGCCTGAATAGACTTTTCATTCATAATTTTTTTTAACTAATGATTTTTCAAATGTGTTTCATATAAAGTGGTATCGATGGTAGGCAATAAAAATCTAGTTACTCTATCGACTATAAACTACACAAATTCAATCTACGAGCCTTTCAGTTGACAGAATGACTAACTCCAATTACAACAATTTTGAGTAATGTTATTTTAGTGATATTTCTAGATGGAAGAGTTGTATCTATACAGTGAGTAAGTTGATCCTAGGAAAATACATTAAGGGTGTAACCAAATGGAAACCTAATACATACACTTCAACACGACAACTAATGAAAAACCTAATCAATAATTTTGTTATTTAAATTTAATTAAATCCAATTTTTAATAAATAATATTATTAAATGAATTAATATTAATATTACCTAATATATTACAAGGAGGTGAATCTTCTGCACTATCTTTACATTTCCTCTGATTTACACATTTTTCAGGTATGTCTAGAGATAAATCCAGAAAGGGATCATGTTTTTTAGATTCTGTTCCACAATTCAGACATCTAACCTGAAATTGAAAAATAAGTATACAATTACTAGATTGAAGAGATAGTGCTTTACTCATTCAAACCTAATATATTCATTTATTGTAATCAATATCTTATTAATGATAGTTAATAAACTAAATGAAATCATATAATTCAATCCAAAACATAAATTACATTACCTCAGACTGTAATGTTCCCCCGAAAACAGATGTCACAATAGAGGTTTTATTTTTGTGAGAGAAATCTTTAAGCGTAAAATCTGGTAACAGATGCAACAGCTCTGTGTGAAGTCTATCTAACATGTAGCGGAGAAACTCATGAGCATCTTGCTGTTGATAACCCCTGTAAAATTCAACCAAATTGTACAAATGTAATATTTAAATAAATATATTGTCGGTGTTCTTTAAAAAGGACTAATTCAACAAATTGGGTATTTTCCGACTTTCTCATTTTTAGATTCATGGCGTCAATAGCTACCAATGTGTAAAGAATGGGAATAAATATTAAGTTTTTATGTACTAGTTAACATCCCCATGTAAATTATATAACAGTGGTCAAAACACTTCCACTTTCTAAAATGTTTTGTATATGTTCTCCTGAAATATAGTGAATAAGTTACATTTGCCTTTTTCATAGACCAGTGAATTTATGTTTCTACTAATTATTCATTATTCAGTATCACTAGAAGACATGAATTCACATTAATTATATCAATAAACAGCCTCTATTTGCATTACTGCGAAACTAATGGTGTTTTTCAAAGTTGTTTTATGTCCTCCATTTTACAGAACAGAATCAACAATGTTTTGTTTTATCCAATATTTAATTAATTTAATCATAATGACAGCATTTTATAAATAAATACATTTATCTATCTAGTTTATTTGGAATCAACAAATAATAAAAATTTAACAAAGGAATTTATCAAATCAATATCAGTATAAAAAAAAACAAGATAATGAAGATAATTATTATAACAGCTATCATGTAAGATATAGCACAAATGATAAAAGTATTAGGTTACTTTTAATATGATAACTGATAATGTTTAAGTGATTAAAAATAAAAGCTAAACTTTTTTGTATAATAAAAATTAAATTTTATTTATATTTAATCCAAATTAATGATTCCTCAGCTGATTTTGCGTGTTGAGGGAAAACAGTAAAGTTCCTATTTAATTTAATTTAAATTAGATGAATTTACACAAGTTTTATGGTCACCCCAATAGACTCGCCCAAGACATGGCCCAGTAAAAACATGCCCGATAACATCTGCAGAAGGCCGAAAAGGAGTTGGATGAGAGATCTCCTTAATTAACCCTAACATGTTCGAAGATTAGCCACTGGGCTTTTCTCTTCCTTATGCCTATCATGCTCCTTCTCCTTTATTTGTATACATTCTCAGTATCTCCTTTATTTGTATACAGCATTAGTTATCTCATTCACTGGTCAGTGGACATTGACAGTGGACAAAAAATCTTAAACAGTTGTGAATATTTGTCAGTTCTTTTACTCAAACATTAATTATTAGCAATACTTTTCCTTAATTTTTTTAAGTAGTTGACTTATATTGTCTGACTTTTATCAAAATGATTTTCTAGGGGACTAACCTTACTACTAGATAGGTTAGTTTACCTGGGCCTCATAACCATTGCACATTTCTGATTTTCATTAAGTAAATAATTTCATGAAAGTGAATAATTTTTCATATCCCTAGTTTATACTTTTATAAACCATAGCCGAGTGGGCAATAAATTAAGAGAAACAGTGGAAACCACAATTTATTTATAGAAAAAGTCTTTAACTGTTGTGTATATTTGTCAGTTCTTTTTCTCAACAAATTTATTGTTTTCCTTAATTTTCGTAAGTAGTTGACTTATATTTTTTTAACTTTTGTCAAAACGATTTTCAGGCACTAGGAAGTAATTATTATAACTACATTTTCCTCTTGATGTCCAATGCTATAAAGAATAATGTCCAAATAAGCTTTTAAAATTAAAAACATCATTATAAGTGGAAAATGCATCAGATCCATGCTGCCTGTTATCTCTATGTCAACTGAGCTAAAATGGTCAGTAATGATTGAATGTACAGGGTTTATCATGATAGGAGCAATCTTTGTCAGTCTTGTGACTTTCATTTGCAACTGATCGTGTAAGGCCCGCTTGAGAGGAGACACATATGTCTATAATAGATGGCAGCAGTGTTGCTTGCCTATTCGTCAAATTTAAATTAAATAAAATAGCAACTTTTCTGTGTTTCCTTAACACTATACCTAATTAATAATCAAATAAAGTGAACAAAAAAATTATGAAATTGAATTCCAATTATATCAAATTATACAAAAAGATAAAGCCAATTAATATAATTTGAGTGAATTTAATTATATTAATTTACTTTTATTATTATGGAAACATTAGTTTCAGGATAAACATTATCATTTCCGTTTAATTTACAATGTGAGTATGGTTGTTCTTCTGTAATGCCTTTTAAGTTAAATAAATTTTCTTGAGCTCCTGTTCCACTGCCACTAAGAGGAAAAGAAAGAAAAAAAGGAAGGAGGGAGAGAAGGAGGAAGCTGCCTGTATAAACTTCTTACAAAAGCCATTAAAGGAAATATTGGTTACATTAATCCAATATAACTTCTATTTTACTTTAATTCTAGAGTCAAATATTATAAACATTTGACATCATAAGTGGGATAATACATGGCACACTAAATGGGGAAATATTCCATAAAGGACAATGTACAATATCTGATACAGGATAATAGTATTTTGAGACTACAGTGGAAACAGATTTTCGGAATATATATAGATTTTTATTGGAGAGGAGTTTTAGGGCGTTCAGTCCAAATAACTAATTAAAAATAAATAAATATAATTTATTCATTTTTAATTTATTACTTCTGACTGAACACCACCCACAAGCAACTCATCTTCAATTTATCCACGACAGTCAACTATTAATCCACTGTTATCGATTTTTATTGCTTGTTTGTGAACCAAAACAGTGTTTTCCTTTGATGGGACAGAGAAATAAAACTTCATTAATTATAACAAATAATAATAATTAAAAATTCCCAAATTAAACAATCTATATTCATTATCGAATACATTAATCATGATGAGAAATCATACCTGTATCGAGGGACTACTTTCCATATGACAAGAAACAAAGACTCAGGAGATATAGCACCCTTTGCCCCTTGGTCAGTCAAATTAATCAGAATTTTTCTTAATTCCTCAGCCATTATCGCATCTTTAAGTTCTTTAATACTGCGAGATTGATAAACTTTATTTCGGCCTTTTATTCCTTCCAAGGATGGCAATTTTTTAAAATAAAGACAGAACTCCTCAATATTACTAAAATAAAATAATTTTATATTAAAACAGTACACTTATTATGCTAATAAATAAATAAGCTATAATAAAAAATATTTAATAATAATTTAATTACTAAATGATTTGTAATCATAAATGGGAATAATCATTTGTTGAAAACAAATTAAAACACTAAGAAACCTCGACAGATAGTTAAATAAAATCAATTTTAAAAGAAAATATGGTTTTTCCATGGCTTTTCTATATTACTTACAGTTTATTTCATTACACTATTATATTTTCTAATATCAGGTTTTATCCACGCAATACTCAAGAAAAATAAGCTGACAAGTTTATTATTGTTGAAATTGAATGAATTTTTTTAATGAGAAATGCTTTATTAAATATTATAATAATTACATATACATGAATAGGTAATAAATAATAAAACAACAAATACAATATAAAATAATAAATATTTTGAATAATTTATATCTAAGAAATAATAATAAAGGAAAATAAGGGAAATCATAAAGAACAACATGAATAAAACTGAACACAAATAAATTAGACGAATCATTGTCAATGCTAGATGTAGCAGATTAAAACGGTGTATCCACGCATGTCGAGGAAAACCGACAATTTTACGACATTCATTCACAGAGGAGACATTAAGAAGAGAAATTAGGATATCATTTCGAAATGGGCTAGTTCCAAGAAATTTTACACGAGTTTGACTAAGCATTGAACATTCAGCAAAAAAAATTGAACAGATCTTCCTTTAATAGTAGATTACAGAGTGGACAATCCGTATATTCCTTGTCAAGCCATGGGATGTAATTCAAATAAAGAAGTTCACACCTGAGCTTAAACAATCAACTCAACTCGCGCCCAGTTAAATCCCAACAGCAGCCATCCACGAATATCAAAATCATGACTCAATTCCCTTTACAATAGAAATCCATCAGAATTCAATGCAGCTAATTTACACTGCTCCCATAATGAAAAACATTCCAAACACCTGTCAAACCTGCAAGAGTATCTTTCCGCCAAATTGCACCAATTTTTAAACTAAAATTTATTACGTTTAATAACTTCAATGGAGATAACTCTGGAGAGACGACTTTCAGGCAGGCACAGTAACTTAAGATAATACTTAAAATTGAACTGTAAAGTGGATTTTTGGCTGTTTCTAAACAAATCAAATTATTTGGTGTCGTTGAAGGCAACAAAAACAATTTCTTAATAAAAAATCTCTGACACTTTTCCAATATGTCATATCCCTGAAAACCCCAGACTTGAGCCTCATAGCATACTATGGAGTGCATGATCACATCAAATATTTGTTTTTTGGTAGATAGTGGGATCAGATCTTGAGCAATGAAACTTGACTAATTCCTATTAAGGCCCATTTTAGCAGCCGATATATGATCTCTCAAATGGTAAGTAAATGAAAGACTGGAGTTTAGCGTGACACCTAAAATATTTTTAAGTATTGACTACTATTATTGTTGAAATTGATATAGATTAATTCATTTTAAACACATCCCTACATCAGATGATGCTAAAGTGATATCTGTCAATTCAAAATTCAATAGTTCCTATTACATTATAAAAAAAAATTAATTAACCGTAGAAAAAATAACCTTTTAATTACAAATGAGTAAAAAAAATGTATTCAGATGAAAATGAAAATAAAATGTTATTTTTTTTCTTCTCAATGAATATTCTTAACATTTAAAGATTGACTATTATTTTAATACAGAACATTGAATTTTATAAAATTAAACATTGAAATTTAAAAAGATTCCTCTGACTACACTTATGCCAATTTCGTAAAAGAAGATCATCGCTGCACTGTCTTCAAGCAGCAAAATGAAACTTTTTTTTTTTATCAACGATAATAAAGTTATAATTCAGTTTGTTTTCCATTATTCATTAAACTTGTGTAAAAGCACTGAATTGCATGGATGAGTATAGGAACAGTCTGATGTTTTACCAATAATATCGGTAAATACAGAAAAAAAACACCTTAATGTATAATGTTTTCTTATTGCATTGAAAAATATTATTATATACTTGAATATCATTACCAGGAAGTAAATCTACATATCTTGTTTGGGTTAACGCCCAACGAACTCCTTGTACTGTACATATATGGAATTTTAATGAAAACTCATAATCTCATTTTTTCTTTTTTCAACGATCAATCATTTGTAATCATTCTGTTTCAAACATAATAAACCTTCGGTTTTTTGACATTACAAATTATCATGATTGCAGTGTATCTCTGATTTGAATTCAAATTTTTATATATAATTTGAGTCCTACTAATGGGTAGTTTCTCTTCATGTTTTACATGTCATGTTACCAATGTCACATTTACTTGTTGTATTTTTAATGCAATACAGTTGTAAATTTCATTAAAATAAAATTTAAAAAAAAATTTTATATATTTTCTTTTTTTTTTTTTTTGGTTTGGCTGTTTTATCTTTATTCATGTTATATTAATAACTAAACAGAGTAAAAAATAATACATAGCTTTTTGTTTATTTTCTTATTTGTCCTTCATTTTACCAACAATCCTAAGAAAAAATAGTTAATTTACCAGTCAGTAAACTAAAGTAAAATATTAGCAAAAGACATAAGAAAATAATGTAACAAAAATAAAAATGACAATTTTTTAAAAATATAGAACACTTATATAAGTAATAAGGTTAGGGTTTTAAAAAATGATATAGAGTAAATAATTAACTAAAAATCAATACGAATGTAACAAAACAACAATTATACCTCAGGGACTGAAGAACAGCATTCATGAAACAAGTATTTCCCAAATTCCTCAGTCCTACGACACGCTTCTGCAGTTTTTCCCTTTTTTGTGTTTTGCGGTGGTTGTTGTCATGCTCACCTTTACGTCGTGTTTTGCCCCGTGTTTTACATTGTATATTCTCCGAACTGCCAGTACTACTACTGTCATTAGAATGAGATCTATAGAAAAACATTTATATGACAACATATATCCATGAAAAATAAATCTAATATCTCATTATTATATAAAATAAATGAAAAAGGTCTAATTATTAGTTAAAGTATATCACTCTACATCTGAAACTAAATAATTATTTTTAAAAAACGCTATTCGCATGAAATGGAAAATTATTATTAATAACACAGATGATATGGAAAGGTGATATATTTAATTTTTATTATCATCCCATTATTTCTTTGTCTTACAGAAATTAAGCCATTCTAGTTATATAACTATTTACATATCCTTATATGTATACCACATACTATAAAACACACCTTCCTGATTGATGACATTCTTGAATGCTTTCATGGAGTTAAAATTCAAAGTAGCCTTATAGGGATATAGTGAGCTGTAGCAGGTAGAAATTTTGACACAACTTTAAAAAACTGTGTGCTTTTTCACAGTGAAGACTAATTCTAAATTTAAGACATATTTGATATTTAAAGTATGTGAAAAAAATATTTGTTTATAAATTTAATACAAAATTCTGGTTTACAGATTGGACCGATATTTATACATAGCTTATCTAAATCAAATTGGCTCCGGTTTGTATTTGTTTTAGAAGTCATTATTTTATAAATTTTCAAACAATGTTTTAAGAAAAATAATAAATTTTTGAAGCAAATCCTGATGACTGCTCAATCTGAACCTATATTCTATAGTTGTTGAAAAGCAAAAGAAAATAACACATTTTTTAAATTACTGTACTGTCGTAGATAATTCATAATTTTGTCTTATTCTGATATTTCAAATACATAATGATGTCTTTTGCCTGTAACGGATTCGTGATAAAAGGAATTTGAGGGAAGTAGCAGAGCAGGGTAAGGTTATCAGCTCACTGACCCTGAGTCAGAGAAAGAGGCTGCCTCCTGACAGGCCACAAATTGCCAGGCTCTAGCCTACATCATCGGTCTACCTAGCCCAATGAAGAGGTATTTCCTACCCGTGATACGAGAAGCACCTTCGCTCCCTCATACTAGAGGGCTGACCATCATTGGATGTTTCCGCTACTCACCAGAGAAGAGGTCTTTGGCTGGTTCTAACAATCAGTAGGCAGTAGATAGAAGGATAAGAAAAGGCGACTATGTTTGTGGGAACAAGGAGTCCTCAGGAAAATATACGGACCAGTCTACTCTGGAGAAGAGCGGAAAATAAGAAAAAATTAACAAATGAAAAACATTATATGGCCAGCCAGATATTGTGGCCATAATGAAAAGAGAAAGGTTGAGGTGACGAGGAAGCTATAAGTTAGAAGATGGAGAGCTGTTATTGGTGGCAGACCAGCCAAGGCAATCTTTCTGTGAGGAGGCTCATACACTCAGAGGGCAGTAACAGCAATAATAATAAAAATTATGTCTTTCAATACACATTATATTGAACCTGACCTAGGTCAAATTACTTGCTTGTGTGTAACTTTTAACTTAGAAACAGCGCTTCCTTACAAACTACTGAATACTATACCACTCTTTGTTTTTTATAACATGAATCGCGTCTTTTTTACTTTAGTGTTGCCGGTCACTTTTATTAAAATAACAGTTATTATTTAGAAATCATATGGCATAAAAGAATAAATGTTCTACTGAAAATTATTATTACACAATATATTAACATAAAAAAGGTTAACTTTAAGAAAGAATAACAAATATTTAACTAAGATTACTCCTCCACATAGCTTTGCAATTTTTGAAAATGTAAAATTTCATTTAATGTCCTCAGGAACATTTTCTTTTTCTGTATAATATTATTTTCTTTATTATCATTTTGATGCCCTTAAGTTGGGATGAAAGAACGTTATATAATTTTAGGAAGTTAATTTTTTTTTTTTTAATTTCATACTTTCAATAAAATATCACGTTTATGATTAAGCTTATAACCTAATTAGTACAGTCGTAATATTTTTTTAAAATCTAATGAACATAATGAATGCTGAACCATGGATCTATTTTTTGTTCTTAAAAATTAGTTTAATCATCAATTAAATTTGACTCTTTAAAAAATATTTTTACTATTATTCTTTTGACAACACAAAAACTAGAAAATCAAACAAAAAATTAACAATTAAATAATATTCGTGAAATAAAAGTTCTAATGATGAAAAAAATACTTCCCAAACCATCAAAATAAATTGATACTATATTAGAACACATATTAAATACTTAAACTAAACTAAGCGAATAGTAGATATTCATCAACGTCCAAAGGAACTAATGGTTTTCACATTTACCACAAATCATTAATAAAATTATAATTAAATCCATGACAATGGCTTTAATCAGAATATTTGTTTTATTATAATCAATAATACCCTTCTAAAATTCTTACACCTTTATATTTGGAAATTTAAATTTAATGTTTATAACTTATAGCAATACTAAATAAAAAATATCTAGGAGCAACTTAAAAGCATTATTACAAGTATTTTACCTTTTGATGCAATAAAAAAAGTAATTCACTTGTAAACAATAAGTACATAACTGGAGCTAAAATATACATATAAATATATCTTCATTTAAATGTGCTTTCAACCAAGCTAACTTCATATATTTCAAAATCACCTCTTTCTAGTTCTTGGCCTAAGATTTCGTGTTTGTTGAATGTCAGTAGCTGGTTGCCAGGAATCATTTGTAATCTTACTGTCACTTTCGCCATTCCAAGATAATAAGGCTCCCCTGAGTTGACTTATCAGACCTGAGACAGTATCATTCCCAACATATTCTTGACACCAATAGCTGAAATAACACAAAGGAAAATAAGGAGAAACAGGAATATCATGTTTAGGAGGGAGAAAAAATGAGAGAACTTTCTATAATTCATTAAACATTAAGAGAAACATCACATAATTGATATCTTTATTGGAAAAGAATTAAAAACTGATATAACATGTGAAACAGAGATAAAAGTAAATATATTCACTACCTAAAATCTTTCTTATAAGCAAATCTCTACATTGAAATGAACTTGACTAAAGAATGATTTAATGGTACATTAAATTATCATGCTCATACTTATAACTATAACACTAACTTTCATCCAACATTATAATTTATTTAATAAAAATAAAATATTTTCAGTGTATACAAAAATTAATTATATTTAAAGAGCAAGTGATGATACTATTTCCACAGAATTTTTCAAAACAGACAGCTTAAAAGATGTGGTAACAAAAATTAAAGAGAAAAATATAATCAAAAATTCTAATATTGCTTTTTCTTATTTTTATTTATTGATTTTATGGTGACATAAAAGTATAAATAATGAAATGGATGATAACTGAAGTATTGAAAAAAATAATCTCTTATAGAAAATAAGTACCCACCAATAAACAGTAAGATTAACACAATCTAAGCATAAGCTGTGATTTCCTTGTTTTTCCCAATGTTCTAATGCATGTCGATTAACATATCGGCCACAATGAACAACCCCACAGTATAGGCACATCCATGGTTGTTGACTACTTGAACATTCTATAAACAGGAGGTATAAAACTTAAAACTTTCAAAATGAAGAAGAACATTTTGTCAATTTATTGCAAAATGTCATTTAAGTGCACTTTCTGTACTTTTTTAAAATCAATAAATAATCTTGACATTCACGAAAACGTTCTTAAAAGTTGAGCTCAATCAAAAATGTACTTAATGACTTTTTACAATATAATGACGATTTATTCATCAAAATGGCCAGTTATTAGTACATTTCAGTAGAAACTATGTCTCTCTATATAAAATTTCTTATATTTATTTTAACAAACAAAAAATTTAAAAGGTTTATGGGCAAGTTCCTCAACTCAGCACTGAGCTTGTTGATGACATCGGATCTGACTAAACTAGAATGAACGATGCCATAGATTAGCTCTGAATTGAGTTAAAGACTTACCCATTTATTTTATTAATGGAAAAACTTTTAAATATGTTTTTTACTAAGTATCCTAATTTTATAATTATATGATCACAAATAATTATAATTATTATAATAAGAATTTTTACAAATAATTTCCATCGTAGTAATAAATTTAAGTATGGTAGTTAGTTGCATTTAAATAAAAAATAAGTATATAATAACACTATATTTTTAATTTAACTTAAGATATTTTACTTTGAGTATGACTTTTGTATGACAAAAGTACCATTGAAAGAAAAATTAAACCAATGTATACTAACTCAAACATTTTATTTTATTTTTTTGTAGTACTGTGAACCTTGAGATAATAAGACTTTGATCATGTATATCAGATTACAGTAATCCATAGCAAGAAAATACAAAAAAAAAAAAAATCATTGATTGAACAGTTGTTAAATTCATTAGATATTTTTTCAATTAAAAATTGTTACTAAATACTTTAAGATAAAACAATGAAGAAGTTATGGCTAACACCACGAATTAAAACTATATTTTGATAAATTAAATATTAGCTCAAGATACATCCAAGGATCAAATACAAAAAATCAAATAAAAAACCTGTATCAAAAAGTAATGATACTTATACTTCTGCAAATAAGGAGTATTATATATCAGTAATTGAATACATTAAATAGAAATCAACAGCAAATACAAATAAACTATCCAATCAACAATCATTAAAGTATTCATCTCATTAATTATATGGAAGTTCATTGACAATAAAAAATTAATTACATATCTTAAGATAATTAACAGATTAAAGTATGAACTACAGCGGGTTTGAAATGTATAAATTAAAAATAAAAACAAATAGTTGTATATAAAATCATTTTAATGGTTAAAACTAATTAATTTTTCCCGAATCAGACAGAAATGGAAGGGATAAGTAGTTAGATATTGATCACCAATAAGATTAGAACTCTAGAGCGAGGTTAAAATTTAGCAGGTTACTAACAAATTAAAACAGTAAACACAGCTTTGTTCATTAACAAAAAAACCGCTTGAGAAGATCAGATGTTATAAGTGAATATATGTTCGGATCAACAATCTTCCACTTGATTGACAACTATTCTTTCACTCAAATAGTTTTAAATTAAGAAACGAATGCTACTATTCCATCACTAAATATTTACTTAACGTATAAAATATATTATGTATTATGAATATATACATTAAACTTAATATACTAAAATAGATTTTTCAAATCAATACGTTATTTCAAGATCTTACCTGCGCATAGCCATTCCTTTGTATCTTTCTGCGTAATAGGTGCTTCGATTTTAACATTTTCATTAACATGTGGACATTCCATGATACAATTCTAAAAAAAATGCTACAAATTATGAAAAATAATTCACTGAAAAATTGAAGGAAAATGTACGTATCGCCCTTAAGACCCGACCTAACCCTAAACGGTCCCCTACGTAATGAGAATACGTCTCGGGAGTCGAGAGTAGCTGTAAAGTTTTGACGCAATCGCAATGGCCAAGCAAACGTTGGCGCACTTTTTTAAATATTCTACTTAATAACAAATGATAAATAAATATTTATGTAATGTTAGTTGACAATATCGAAACGAAATAATCATATAATTAAAACATTTAAAGTATGATTGCAAGCTTTGTTGCAGTTAGCATAGCTACCAGATGAAACCTTTCTCATTCTGTTAAAGAATTAAGGGAGAAAAAAATTCTAAAATAGTACTATTTTTAAAATTAAATAATTTTTAATGCATAGAAAAAAAATTTAGTATTTGTTGTATTATGTATTATTTTGAGTTAGTAATACTCGTTTTAAAAAATACAACAATAAATTCATATTTTAAAGTATTTTTCAGTTTAGTGGTAATTTTTTAAGCTTTGTTTCCTTTTCTTTAATTTAGGGAGTCATAGAGACGAATTAATACTTAAAAACAATCGTCAACACATTGGAGATATAATGAGTGGGGTATAAAACCAGTAGAACATGGATTTTAGTAATTTATAGTTTGGGCTTTGGTAAAGTCATAATTAATTGCTTATTTTTATAGTCTCCTTATTTAAATAAAATAATTATGTTTGATTTGGTTCTGAAAATTCGATTTTTTGATTGCGTTTTCCATACTATTGAATTCATAAAAAAATGTTTAATTATGAACCCAATAGTACACCGGTGGGTGCACTGTAAAAGAATACATTTTTATTAGATTTTGAAACTATATCAATAAAGTATATTATTAAATACAATTTAAGTTAATTACATACTTTCCATCGATTAATAATTTACCAGGATAAGAATTAAAGTATTTTCAGTAAAAAGTTTAACTAAGTTTAAAAAATTTTGTTACGTATAAGATTTTTTTAAGCAATCATGCACGGAAATCCATTATTAGAAAACATATTTTAAAAAATATACTAAAACTTGTGTATTGGTGCATATTAAAAGTAACTACCCAGTAAAACTCGAAATGAATTGTATCATCATAGAATATTAAAAATGATTCTGGCAATATCCAGTTTTAGTTTTTTGTTTTTTATAAATGTAAATTAAGTAATCTCTGAAAATATGACAATATCTAGTTTAATTTAAAACTAATTGTGCATTTATAAAATAAAAATGTTATTATGATCACTTAAATGACGCTTTTAATGTGCTTTTAAATATTTCACAAACTCTAGGAAACACAATTATCTAACTTATCAAATAGCGACATTATTGCTAAACCAAATCGTTTATTTTATTTCTCTTGATACCGATAGCAGATAGAAAATCATATTTTCAACAATTTGATAACAACAAAGCACGGGCGGATCTACGGGGGGAGGGGCTTTCGGGCTGAAACCCCTCCCCTCCCCCCAAAATGGTAAAATATAACCAGGTTTTATCGAAAAAAATATTAAAAAATTATCTCTGAACGTATAATTATTCGTGTAATTACATTTTAAAGGGCCTTAGGAATCACTTAAACACCAGTTCATATAGGTAGTTAGTTTCTTTCTTATTTTCCAAAGTAATTATAGTTATTTTTATGAAAAAAAAGCTTTCGGGGGGAAGCCCCTCCCCCCAAAATTAAATCCTGGATCCGATAGTGCAACAAAGTGATATATTCAAACAAGAAACAAAAATAACAGTATAGTTAAATAGGCATTTATATATTTGTTCCATAGTTTGTGAAATATCTTTAGAATCGTATTAAAAATATATTTTTTTCGATATTGGCAGCCACATAATGCTATATATTAATCTTTAAATATTGTAAATCCTTCATTTAATTTAGGTTGTAATAAAAATACAATGATAAAGATGAAAGAAATAAATTTAAAAAACATAACAAATTTAAATCCTGGATCCGATAGTGCAACAAAGTGATATATTCAAACAAGAAACAAAAATAACAGTATAGTTAAATAGCCATTTATATATTTGTTCCATAGTTTGTGAAATATCTTAACACGTGAAATATCTTTAGAATCGTATTAAAAATATTTTTTTTTCGATATTGGCAGCCACATAATGCTATATATTAATCTTTAAATATTGTAAATCCTTCATTTAATTTAGGTTGTAATAAAAATACAATGATAAAGATGAAAGAAATAAATTTAAAAAACATAACAAATTTTCTTTGTGTGATGAACGAAGTTCCTTTCCTGTATTGTAACTCTAAACGTGCGTTTAAACATTTCACAAATTATGGGCCAAACATATTTATATATAAATGTTTGTTTCACCATGGTAGTGTTTGTATTGATGTTTTGCATCTGCTGTCGCTAACAAGAGAAATAAAAAAATATATAGCTCTAATGACATGTCGCTATTAGTTAAGTTAGATAATTATGTTATCCATAGTTTGTGAAATGTCTAAACGCACCTTAATATTAACTATTTTTTAAAAATATCTATACGTTTAGTATAGGCATTCCATTTAAATTTTCATTTTAAAAATACTGCTTTGAGTAGTATCGTTACAAAGTTTTCTGTAAATATTTAAATATTCCTGATTATAATATTTCTACGAATTTCATACAATTCTCTTCAGTGTTTTAGAAAAAAAATATATACCAAAAGTAAAATATAATTTGATGTTAAATGAAATTAAGAAAGTACCACATTTATAAAATGAGCATTTTGATTGAAGAATAGATATTGTGACATTGACTAAAATACATTGGCTTTCCATTCTAGTTGGGGGAGGAGGTGGTGAATCACCGAAAATAAAAGTCTCGGAAGTTTATATTAAGTACAAAATCATTAACATAGCATACTTAATGTAAAACGAACAATATAATACTATAGATATAAATAAATGTATATATATATATATATATATATATATATATATATTTTTTTTTTTTTTTTACAACTTAAAATGGTAGTGTTTGTATTGATGTTTTGCATCTGCTGTCGCTATATATATATATATATATATATATATATATATGTATATACACATATATATATATACATTTATTTATATATGCTTATATTTATATATATATGCTTATATATTAGTTTTTTTTTTTCAGTATACGTATATTTGCATTTATGTAAACAAAGCGATTGAATATAATACATACTTTTATTTTTAATTAAAGGTTTAAGGCAGTGAGATGAACTTTCAATTCGCCGATGCTTTATCAAATTTGCCGCGAATGTGATAAAATCTTCACGTAAATAGAGAAGGGTGCACATCAACGAATCGTAAAATCCTAGTATATTTTGTTTCATATAATTATATTTGGATATAAACTAAAATTTCAATAATAGGAACACAAGGCGTGACAAAATACTTGCGTATTGGCTAAATTTTTAGACTTCAACCAATAGCGGATCCAGGATCTTATTTTTTTGGAGAGGGATTCAGCCAGAAAGCTTTTTATATATATATATATATATATATATATGTAACGATTATTACTTTGGAAGAAAAAGAAAGATACTAACTAACTAACCATATGGAATGGTGCTTAAGTTTTTCTAGAAATCCTACTGAATGTGATTACACAAACAATAATACTTATGAAGATAATATTTTTCATAAAACGTGGTTATATTTTACCATTTTGGGCACTAGCGGATCCAGGATTTAATTTTGGAGGGGGGGCTTCAGCCAGAAAGCTTTTTTTTTCATATAAGTAACGATAATTACTTTGGAAAATACGAAAGAAACTAAGTACCTATACGAACTGGTGTTTAAGTGATTCCTTAAGCCCTTTTAAATGTAATTACACGAATAATTATACTTTAAGAGATAATTTTTTAGTATTTTTTCCGATAAAACATGTTTATATTTTACCATTTTGGGGGGGAGGCTTCAGCCCGAAAGCCCCCCCCCGTAGATCCGCCCGTGACTTTGGGGGAACTTCAGCCCGAAAGTCCTCCTCCTCTCCCCCATAGATCCGCCTGTAAACTGGTCAACATTAATTATTTCCTTAATTGATTTTCATTTACATATTTCATTCATTCATGTTGATTAATTGTAATTGATTGATATAGTTTCCTTCTCCCTGATGATGCTTTCATACAATAGTTACAGGCATCAAAAATAAATCCGCTCTAGCCCCCAATGGTCTAGGTATGTCGTGCATTTATTCAATTTAGTCAAAGAAAACTCAACACAATTTTCTCTTTTTCGTATCTAATCAACTTGTTCTACTACAATATTTTCGCATTAACTTCAGTTTGTCATATTATATTTTCTGAGGCATCAATATATCTCTGGTCATGAGAATAGCGTCGTTCTTTTAAATTAAGATAATAAACTTTGTTCCTGAGATTCTGTTTGTAGTTACAATAAATTCTAACACTGCCCATAGGCAGATTTACGGGATGGGGGGGGGAGAGGAGGAAAACTAGAGTTGAAAACCCCCCTCTCCACCCAATGGTAAAATATAACCGTTTTATGGAAAATAATATTAAAAAAGTATCTCTTTAAGTATTTTTGTTCGTGTAATTACATTTATAGGACATGAGTATCAATAGAACTTCAAGAATCACTTAAATACTATTTCATTCAGGTAGATAGTTTCTTTCTTTTTTTTCAAAGTAAATATCATTATATATATATATAAATATATAAAAAGCTTTCGGACTGAAGCCTCCCAAAATTAAATCCTGGATCCCCCAGGGACACTGCCTAGCTCAATTCATAGAACTAAAGTATTTTGAATAAAACATCTCTTCATTGCACTTAAATTTTCTTGGATTCGATGAACTGCACTAAAGGTCAATATTATTGCTAACAGACCACTCATTTAATCTGTGGTAGCTGTCAATAAAGTAGCACTTATCAAAGTGCAAATCGTTATCATTTTCTGATTATCCTAAGCACTGACATGCTTCCTTGCAGGTGTATGCATTTCTCAGCATAGTCTTCTGCTGGATGTACATAGACAAACCACTGAATTGATATTCCTTATTCATAAAATGTTTGAGGGTTTTGAGTGATAGCGCATTCTCTCCTAGATTTCTTCATTACTTTCAAATCTAATCAATTCTTTCAAGGGCGCAAATAAAAAATAGACATAGGTAGGGATGGACGATAGTACTAGTGACTATTGATAATTTGTATCCTCTTCTCAGGCACAAATTATAAAAATAATTTTAATAGTACTTCTACCTATTTATTGATGCAAGAGATATAATGATAATACAATGTAAAAGTGAAATATTTGATAATAGAAAACTGTTCCGAAACTTCTCTTGCAGAAAGTAAATGGAATTGTATGTTGTTGGAGGTATGTTTAAAACTATTATGAAGGGTGCCCAGAAAGAGATTTCATGCAGTTAAAATTTTTGAGGGGGGCATATATCGACGGGTTTGAATTTTCAGAATGAAAAGTTTCAATCAGAAGACAAGGTTGAAAATATGGAGGAGACACAAGTTTAATAGTATATGATCGGAATTTGTTCTACTTCCCTTGTTTTTAAGGACAGGAGAGCAACATAATTTTTTGGAAAGGGGAGGGATTTATGTGCTATTGACCTTGGGTGAATGGGCACTCCTGATAATTATCAATATATGAAACTGAAACAATATTTAACAAGAAGCCAAATTACAATCTTGGAAATTAAAATGAAACACTAATTTCGCTCTTACTTCTTTCTTGGTAAATCAGAATTACTTAATATTTAGTTCCAACAATAACATGTATTATGTAGGTGTTTCTCGTTAGAGGGCAACATACATGGAAATGAATGTTATTTATTTTTCTATATAAATTATTTTCCTGTTAAAATTTTTCTTAAATTGTTAATTTAATAATTTTTGTTCGTGACTATAACATAAATTTTAATAGACCACTATAAATGTGGGTCATTGTTATGAACCTAGTGCATTTTAAAGGAAATAAACAAAGAATAGAGCGAAAAATAAATCATAAATTGTCTGTGGCAGGAAGTTACTGGACTATCCCCCATTCCTGGGTACAGGAGTAGAAGTTAACAATCCCAAAAGCAGTTAAAGGGTTTCTCAGCCTTTTTATTTTAAATTAAATTCCGCCAAATTTAATCTATTCCGAATGGTAAATACCATTTTAAGATCAGTGTGAGGCATACATTGTTACCTGTTCAAAATGTGGGGCAAATTCATTTTTCATTTCCACAGGTTCAAACAGTGAATCAGCGATCCAAGGGAAGGCAGAAATGTTTCATTTAAGATTTGTGCATGGTTGTTGATCATGACTTTGTCTTTCAACCTTCTCCCTCACCCACTCAAAAATTTTGTGCCATTAAAGTTGTGAAAATTTTAAAACTGTAAGGTTATGTCTATACTGACCACACAAAGCTTCCAAATCAGTGGAAAAAGTGTAGAAATCAGTCAGGAGACTACACTTACGATTTGAAAATAATCATAGCAGTCATATTATTTATAAAAATTACAGTTTGTAATTCTGTGTTACATCATTACAGGGAGCAAGAGAAATTTTGATTTAGTTTTATGATTCAATTTTTTTCCCTCTTCATTGTGTTCAAAGGACAATTGACATGGCTGTATATTATGGGGTATTCCTCCTTACTCCAATAGGTAAGCATACAAGAAGATAGTAGACAGATTGGTTCAATTCTCATAAAAATTCCTTAATTCTTAATGTTTCTCACTCTAAATAATAGTAATGGGATGAATAGTACAATAATATCAAGTTTATATAAATCATTTTTATTGATAAAACATTGCTTAAAATATAATTAAAATTTATGGACGACGCCCATAATTCTGGTTTGTAGGATGAACAAGCTGGAGACCAGATATGTTGCTGAACTCCTGAAATAAAAATAAACAAGAAATGATTACAGGGAAAGTCAGAAGTAAATTAGATAGTGATGTAAGGTTAGACCAAGATTATCCAATTTGTAAAATCTTGAAACATAAACAATTTGCGAGCTACACTACAGCACACGGTAACTATGGGTATGGCTCATTTTATTAATTTTGGGTATATAATGTCTAAAAATATTTTCACTATAAAATACAACATCCTAATTTATGGCTAGAGTTGCTCAAACATTTCTTAAATGTTGCTGAATATAAGAAAATAAAACTTAAGAATGGTACTAAAACAATTTAGCATGCTTATCTTATATTAAATTTCTGTTAGAAATTTGGCTCACTGAACATTTTTAATCCTTAATTGGCATAAGGAAGAATTAGGAATTGGTCACCACTGGTTTAGAAAATGAAATATTTTCATAGTGGCTAATTTGACTGCAGAAGTTGGTTGGCGTATTAAATCTCTCTTTTTCTTAATATTTATTCATCATGTCTTTAGCTTAGCCCTAATAATTGTCATAATGGTGACAACAAGGACAAAAATAAATTTAATTTTTTTATACTTTATTTTTTCATCGACTGGACACCCCAACCAACTTCTCTCCAAATAAAATATCAATTTTATGCTCCAATCAACCAGTTATATAAAAAAAAAAACTGCATGTTAATACTGGTACTGATGCGGAATAGTGCGACAAATGTCTTCTGGTTCTTTTTGCCAACCCCTGATGACTGTCTAATGGTTGCTGCCCTGTACTAACCACAGTGGGTGGGATAATGAAGATTCATTTTTCAGGAGCTAGTGAAACATTATAGATCCAGGCAGAAATTGAATCCTTAACATTCTGAATTGGACGATATGGAACCCATACCCCAATGTGCTTGGCTATCAAGTCCTTGTTATAAAATTAAAATGAAAAAACGATATATACGTTGACCATAGATCAAATCAAGTTTATGGCAGGAGTATGGTATGAAGTCCTGCCTGTTCAGTATACTGTTTTAAAATATTCCAAGGCATCAGGTAACTTGTCTTTGTTAGGGTTGGTTTGCCTTAAATGGACATTGAATAATAAATTGATAAAAAATGTAACAATAATCTCAATCCCAAAGAACATAGTAGCAATTTATTTTCCCATGACAAACAGACATTTAAAATGTTTATTGTATTCCATCATGAAACAGTAAGAGTGATTTACATAATATTATGTTAACATTTACTCCATAGTGAGAATATGAAACAAAATTAACTATTATTGATTCAAAATTATACTACTATTATTAAAAATAAACTATTAGTTTTACTAGTATTACACACGAAAACATCATGTTTTTTTTATTATACAAAAAGGAGCTCTAGAATGATTTAAATTATTTATCAAACTAACCATAAAATACAGGACAATTATTTGATTACCACTGCATCGGAATTACTCATTTTAACTCGCGACACAGTACTAACTACTAAAGTTATTTTGGGTTAGTTAAATCGTTTAGAAGAAAAAATATTATGACAATAAATTATAATACTTCATGTTGATAGACTTATAATTTGTTCAACTTGGCAACAGTAAAATCATGAAGCCACACACATCAGAAGTGACCTAGCTAGTTAAGTCACTAAAGACATATAACCCAAGAATACTTACGAGTGCCATGCTACAATCATACATACGACGAACTGGATTAGTCGTAAACTAAAGTTTTTTCTCTTTTTTTTAATCTAATGACGGTAATTTATGCAAACTTATAATAGAGGGCACTTAATTTTATATAATAGCCATTATATGCTGATCAGAGCAGCTCATTTACTAATTTATCCTTAAACTGAAATGGAAATATTTTGAATAGATGTTCAGACATTTTATACTAACCAACATCTTCAACATTCCATGAGATTCAGGATCAACTTCAATGACATCTTGTTCCAAAGCAGAAACATCAGGCACATAGTTGTCCCTCCTCTCTCTTTCTTCTTCCTGCAACTTGATGGAAATACCTCTCACCTGGGAATGTCTCAGACGTTTCATTAAATGTGTGACGAACCTGGGCAGAACAAAATTTAATATTAATCAAGGAATATAGCTAAGTAAGTAAATAGCTATGTAAGCAATATATATTGAAGTTAGAGAACATGGCCTAAGGTAAAAGGAGCAATACTTGGGCTTATTCCACATCTTGACACTGGATTCACATCCTTTAGACTAGGAGAGGTAAGGAGAATAATTTGTTTATTAAAAAAATAAAATCAATAAATAAAGGAGGTGAAAAAGTATTTTAGAGTGAGAGAGAATAATTTAAGATTTAGCATAAATGTTACTTTATTTGCTTATGGAAGCGGTAACAGAATCTGGATATTCTTTAAATTAAGACAATCCAATAACACAGAAAAATATATATCAAAATATCAACAATATTGAGGTGCAAATGTCATAGATTTTCATGATAATTATAAATAGTCTTTTCTATAGAGTTGATTCTTGGTTAAGACAGGTTTTACACTCTTAAGATTCATCCTACACCATGTCAGACAATTAAATGAACCTCAATAGGCATATTTTATCAGTTCTTAACATGTTACATTCAATCTCAAAATTTCTCACTAGTTTCAATTCTAATTTTTTTGTCAACTGGAATTATCTTATCTGATTAAAGGGATGTTTAGATGAATGTCAAATCGAAGAAATTGGTTAGTGATGAAGAAATAATATAGAATGAACATTGCATCCCTTCACCACTTGCGGATGAGCTGGGTTTAAGGTCAGATCCGTTCTCCCTTCCACAGTACAGTATAATAGATAGTTCATCAATTGAAATTCAAAGATTTAAGAAATTAGGAACATTTATTAAATTTAGGGCAATAAGATATACAATCTTTAAACATATATAGTTATCTATACTTCCTCACTACCAAAGGTAGTTTTGTCAATTATGACTTTTATTAGTCTGCTACTATGTAATATAACAGAGGAAAATAAAATACGAAATTATACTAATTAATCATAAAAGAATAATTGGTTTTAATACTCTCCCATAAAACAATCAATTCTTACATATATTTTTCATTAACAGTAATGATATACATGTTCAGTATGTACTGGGATTTTTTTATTCAATCAAGAATCATAAAATTTGCAGTTTGAAAATGTTCCTCATTTTAATAATCACTGGTGAACAAAATTTGTGGGTAACAAACCCACGAATGTTGAGAGATTATTGTATTTCCGAAAATGGGTTCTTTGGGAGATTTTATTTTCATAATTCAATAAAAATGCTCGAAATATATTGTTTATCCAAAGAAAACAGTGAGAAAGCTCTACTGACCTTACTTGGCAAACATTTTTCGAAATAAATTAAAAACTCACTGACCTTACTTGGCAAACATTTTTCGAAATAAATTAAAAACTCTTTATAGAAGTGTTCTTTATGTTATCTTGTTAAAACTTTCACAACATTTACAGCTGGTTGTATTTTCTAAATAAATAGTTAGCAAGCTACCATAGGCCTGGGCTCTCGTATATTTGTTGTAATACAATGAATGTGATGGATAGCATAAAAACAAAAACTTAAGAAAAATTTAATGAAGTTTGGTCATTATATCCCTCTCAGTAGGGATGAACAGGGGAGAAAAATTAAGAAAGATCAGGCGGTATGAAAGAGGTTAGGGCAAAGTAAATTCTACATTTTCTCCTATTCATTACACCAGGCAGGAAAGAGCTATTTACATGACCCATATCCGTTATTGCCCTACTTCATCACCCAATTTTTCAGATCAGGCAGTATCGTCTAAACACTTCTTAACCTCTCAGCTATCTAATAGAACTTTCAAGATTCCTTGAAAATGGAAGAATTTTGAAGTTTTCAACACGCATCTAACTAGACACTAACATTTCTGTAACGTTTGGAACTAAATGACTCATGTTCCGAAGGTGTGATCATGAGCCCATCCATAATGTTGGAGTGGCACTTGCAAAGTGATACCATGTTTGTTAATAAGTAGATAGTTACAGTGAATTATGAATTAATAGTAGGCAAAAATACTTGATACTAACTCAACAAAACTGGATCCCACAGTTCAATGACATTTTGTAAACAACTTGTTCAGTAATATGTCGATATGTAATAGACGATCTACCTACTAAAATATGGAACATGGTTCTAACAAAAACCGCATGTGCATAATAATTTCTTAGAGAAAGGCAAATGAGTACTATCTTGACTGAAATTAACAGGTTAATTGTTTGTACAAATAATTTTCTAAAAAATGACAAGAATTTTAAAAAGGAATTTGTGACCTATAGACAAAGTCAACTATAAAATATCTAGAGTTCTAATAATAACCAAATCCTGACATGTTTACAAAATCAATATTAGTTTGCTATGATTGGTGTAGAAATTAGCTTAAGAGGTTACAAAACCACAGCTGAAAGTCAAATAAAGTTAAACATATAACCATAGAGATAAATCAAATGAAGAAACAAAGAAAACAATAACGTTAACATGAGGCTAAGTTAGTGAACACAGAGAGTTGATATCTTTTACACCTTTCTATATAAGAATTGATTCACAGTTACTTAGAAAAAGAACATAATATTATAATGACGTCAAAATACTTTAACGGGGAAACTAGCCAACAACCTGTATTAATTACTAAATAGCTGATTTTCAAGTGCATTAGGTATAAAGTTAAAATTAGGAACTAGACATCAACAAAGGAATCACAGCGAAGCTGTAGTAAACAATAGTTTCATCTATTATTATGCAATTAATTTGAGTAAATACTACAAGAAAAATAAGCTGGTAATATTCTTAGAACATTGCTAAGGATTAACACAAGTCTGTCTACTTATGATTGTTTAATTAAACTTAACATCCAATAATCCCATTAATGAAAACATGATAAGACAGGCATGCTGTAGGTATAAAAAACTTTTGGTACACAATGAAATTTTTGTAAATTACAAAAAAACAAAACATTAACACTAATTACATAGAAATAACAATTAACAAAACATACCCAGCTATCTTGTTTCTAAGAGGCTTGGTAGGAATAATAGCAATTTCTTCACATATTCTTTTGTTGGTGTGAAAATCTAATGTGAGACGAGTATAATACTTCTCAATTATAGCTCTTGAAGCTTTCTTAACTGTTTTTGTCCTAACACGACCCTGAAATCATAATTATAACAAAGGTTCATACACTTAGCTAATAAACTGTAAAAAACTTAAGGTTAAGTACTCATGTTACCATGCTACTACAATTTTATAACAATACACCAAAAGCTAATGAAAATTAAGGAACTTCGAGGATGTAATGAGATCTTGGAAAACTTTTCAAAAAATGACTAATTTTCAAATGGATTGGATCACTAAATATACATAGGATATTAAAAGATTTCTATAAACATACCATGCTGGCGTATTCCGAAACAACCAAAGAACCTGACTAGATGAAAATGGCTGCTGCCAATGGCTGTGAGATCGCAAGGACACTGAATAATGTTATTAAAATCTCAAATCAAATGATGTAAAACATAGTGTTTGATGTAACACCTTTTTTTTAAATTGTACTAGTAAGTAGGCTGATAAATTTTCGAAAATATCTATTAATATTGCTTAAAGATGAGATATGTTATTTTTTTTCGTTAAACTTACAAAATAAATACAATTTACTAAATTATAATATTTGTTTCAGCTATTATAAATTTTAGTAGCAATTTTACTTCTAAATAAAGATTATTTGAATTATGTTGATTGGCAAATCGGATTATGTTGGCTACTCTGTTACACAGCTGATTTTGACTTATACGACTGTTGAGAAAATTGAGTCAGTGTGAATTGTGAAGCTGATAGGTTAGGAGTGTGTCAACTAAAGCATTATTTACAGTTCTTTAGTGCGTGATTTTAAACCATATTTGAATGTGAGATAAACCAAATATGTTGTTGAGGACAAAAAGATAGCTCTAATTGTTGATTATTTTAATTAAAGTCTCTTTCTTGGTGAGTTATATTTTTTTATCAGTTGATATTACTTCTTACTTATTATCACAGAAAATAATAATATTGTTTTCTAACACATTTTAAAGCGTTGTTACAAATATACTGTAGAAATCAGTGAACTCTGTACTATTTATTACTGTGAGGTGATTTATTCTTTATTTTTAGATTCATTCTTCATGATCATGTTTTTGATCATTGAAAAGTAATACTATCATTGTTGATAAATTCCAGATGTTTTATTGCTTATTGCAAAGTATATTTTATTTATATAGATTAACTGATAAGAATGATAATGAAAATTTAAAATAATTATTATCTGTGATATACATTAAATGGTTGTTTATCATTGGTTTTCTTTTATTGTATTTTAATTTTAATTTTTATTAAATTAAGTGATTCGAGAGATGGCTGTTATAGTATCATTTAAAAAAAAATGTTATTCCTCTTTTTCATATAATATAAAATAAAACATATTGATTAGTTTGATATAATTTATATTTAAAACAAATTTAATGGTATTATATCTTATTTGTGAATTTATCAGTAGCAGCATTTTATTTTAATTTTTCATAAATTATTTAATTTGATATTTCAGTTATTTATGTTGGCTCCTTGTTTAAAGAGGAATTTCCTAAATCTTAAAACAGGTTAAAAAAAAAATCTCAACAATAATAAAGATATAGAAAACATGAACAGCATTATCAGCTTATTAACAGCAAGATTTTTAACATGAAATAAGACATCATGACATTAACTTAATAAAATACTTATCTTATTCCAGCTATAAATATTAGCTATCATTTTAGTTACAAATGTTTTAATGATCAGATGTTCTGGAAAAAGTTGTTGAGTAGTTTCTTAGCCAAATTATGTGTTACCATTTATTTAGTTACAAAGAATCACCCTCTACAGTTATAGTGTTTCAATCTCAAGAAACTCGATTAACCAAGAATAATTCAACCTGAACTTTTTTTTCCATGTATTCTTGCTTGTCCTACAGCTCATTCTTCAAAATTAGTAGTCAAAAGCAATTTGACATCAGCACATTGAGTGGTAATGTCTTAAAAATTGTTAACTTAATAATTATAAATACATATAATTTGTTCTGTATAAAATTTGATCATTAAATTTATGTAGAGTATTTCATTTATCATTGGTTATAATAGTGTTAAACAGTATCACTATTACAACCAATAATAATATTTACTGTGCATATTCAGTTATATTATAAAATCATTGCTTGGCTTTTTCTTCTTTTTTATAGACCTTCGATATCCTTTGATATTCATAAAAACTTAATTTAGGAATGATGAAGTTCATATTGGTACAAAATGTCAATACGTAAACATGTCAATTATTGTGTCATTGGTTTAATAATTAAAAAATTTATTATTTTTTCATAGCATTATCTGATAATGTTCTAGTTGACAAAATATTTTCCATTATGGTGATATACATCATTTGAATTAAAATCATCAATGAAAATTGCAATTTTTACATTTTTTTTTTTATCATATCATAGAAGTAAATAAGTTTGACAATTTAAGATAACTAAAAGGAGTAAAATAAAATAAAAAAATTGCTTCACTTGAACACCACACTACATAATTCTATAATTTGATTTTTAAAAAAAAAAAAGAAATAAGAATATATTGATGCAAAGATATGGATAGTTCAGAATAAATGATTATCTAATTTATTTAAAGGTCTGGTATTCTCAAAGATTTAATAAATAACAAATACATTTTCAGTTGATCTTAAAATAAACATTCATTTTATCCATTGGGTATTAATATTTTAAATCTCTGGTACTTCCTTTTTGGTTTAATGACCAATCATCCAGTAAACGATCTTCTAAAATCTTTCAGAAATTTGTATATAAAATAAATAACTGTTCTAGAAGAACTCAAATGATATATTACTTTTTTTCAAGTGAAATAATATACCATTAAAATATATAAAATGTATTATATTATTATAATAATCTGTAAGTAGAAAAATGATTGTTTTCCACATTAAAGAAGACTGTTTTACTACTTAGTAATTTGTTTTTACAAGTAGTAAAATTATTGAAGATTTAAATACTGTGATGGATTGTTAATGTTTGTTTTATTGTGATCGTATGTGCTATTGTAGACCGGATGTTGGTCTTGTTAATTGATGTAGATATTTTCAGTGGCCATCATAATGAAATCTAAAAGCTATATTCTGTAGATACCAACTGTGTTTATTTAACATTGTTTTGAAATTTGTAGATTTTAGTGTCACTGTAGTAGCTCAATGCAAATATTGAAATAATTTTGAATTAGCAGATCCTGACGTAAATATTCCACTCCAAAGATTTTCTTTTGTGATTTTTCTTCTAACCTAGTTATCTTAAGTGTTAAGTGAATCATTTTAACGAAATTAATTTGATTATATTATTGGCATTTACCTAGAATCAGCGTTCAATGAAAAGTATTTAAGTTCCGTTATTTTTGGTAGATGTTAGCCGTTTTCCATGTAATACTATCGAGAATTTCAATATTTTTATTAAGTACTGATAATAATTATGTTGATAATTTTTTTTATTCTATGCCAGCATATCTTAACTGATTATTAGTAATTTTAAACGAATGTCCTGTTAAGAGAATTGTCAACTTATTAATTATGCATTTTTATTATGTTTTAAATATTATTTAATTTTTACTGTACTCCAATGATAGTTAAATTTTTTTGTCAAGTAGTTCTAGGGTATATGTAAGTCATCTTTTGCAGTGTGCAAACATACGATTATTCTACGAATGTATTGTACTATTAAAAAATAAATAAATGAAAATATTACATTTGGGTGAAAACGTTCCTCTTACTAAATGAATTGGATGTAGAAAATCCTAAGAATGCGTAGGATTTCTTTCACTCTTCCGCTGACGTGGGGGGTTGCTCCATCAACATCTTTGAAGGGGCAGGTTTAGACGGAGTTGTGAATATTTATAGGGAATCAAATTATGGGTAATTTGGAGGAAATTTCAAACCAGAGAACAAGGGAAGAACATGGAATAGACCACGAGCAAATGTAATTTACTATAAACTACATTTTTTCTAATTATATTCACTCTTCGACATAACCATCTTATTTACTTTCACTAAATGCCCAAATTCCTCAAACAGACTAAGTACAATATCTTGGACTTACCATTGACAGAAAAATGACATGGGACCCACACCTCAAAAAAAAAAAAAAAAAAAAAAAAAGTTAAAAAAAAAAATTTTCAGCCAAAAACTTTCAGCGAGCTTAATTGCATATGTGCTACAATTTTTCTAATTCTACTTATGCTTGCACTGTTTTTATGAAGAAGGGAGCAATATAATATTTTGAGAGGGTGCCGGAAGTTTTCACGCCATCGATCTTAGGGGAATGGGCACCCCAGATTATATCCATAATTAACAGGCTTAGGAAATACTGAATGAGTGATCTTCTCGCTTAAATATGAATAACAAAATCCATACAGGAAGAAATGCCGCTGGGCATTCATATCAACGCCTTAGTACTATGATTTTCTCAGTAGGATACTCATTGGTTACCAGTATTTATGTCAGGTGTAGATAAAGAGATAAATTAAAAAAAAAAACAACGTTTGCTTGCATCGTTTTTAAGAAGAGAAGAACAATGGAATTTCCTGGGTGGGGGATGGACATTCCTACCTTGACGATAATTTATGTTGTTAGCTTGAAGTTGTAGTTTAATAAATAATTTATAGATTATTTAAGATGTGTATCAAGGAATAATGTTTTACATACTAAATGATTCAATTTTGTTGCAGCCCATAAGAAGCGACAAAAAAGACTGAAATTCAAGAAACATGTCGCTTCATCAATTGACGGCTAGTCTTTTTATCCTTCTTTCTTTCTCTTCGCCGTTCGGTTTCTGTAAGCAACCTTTGGTCTTCACGAACCAATTCGCTATTCACGTTCCTGCTGGTAAGGAGCAAGCTGATGCCATCGCAGAAAAGCACGGCTTCGTCAACATAGGACAGGTATGTAGCAATGTCTATTTTTTTTTTTTAAATTACGCAATCCTCTGCTATGAACCTAAATAAAATATTTTTTAGACTTAGTCATGTATATTAGTCACAATTATTATATTTGTTTTTATTTAATAATCAAATATTTTTTTAATTCTTACTATTGTCGTACTCTTCTTAAGGTTTTTGCCTTGGAGGAGAGAAGGTACTTCGTTCTAGAAGGACATTCTTTATTGTTATAGCAGATTAACAATCCAATCCTCACAGAAGGTTATTTTAAAATAGATTATAAACTGTTCTAATTGAATAATGATAATATTAAGCGTTCTCGTGTTTAGTGATGATATATAGTGAAAGCGCTTTATCGGGAGTAGTGAGCTCTATTCGGTAAGGTCTGATAAATCCTTTTGTTATCATTTACAAACATGCCCGGTAAGAGCGGTTCAGAAGAAAAATAAAAAATAAAGTGAGAAACCCCTTTTAATCTCTATTATAATTTTTACCTATATATTACTGACACTGACTGGTACGAGAAAACTGGCAGTTTGCAATCTTGGCGAGGTCGCCAGTTTAGAGTAACCTCGTAGTTTTGTTTACTTGACATCGTCCAATTAAATTTGTAGTGCATACAGTATAAATACCAACTGACAAGGCAACAAAAATGAAGATTGGCTTGAATGAATAGAAAAATTATTTATTACAAGCCTGTCTGTCCACGAATTAATTCGTAATTTGCTTCTGCGAAGAGATTTCTATTAAATAAGGCATACTTCGGGATACCTCTTCTGATATTAAGGGATTGGGGTCGAAAATCAATCTCGCCCAAAAACATGCTAGATCAATGAAGCTTGGGATAGCGATCTTCAGGGGAGAGCGGAAATTAAAATTGGATCTCGGTGCTTTTATCATCTAGATTTGAAATGAATAAAAATAAAAATAATATATTATGTGCCGATCTTACAACACCCGAATGAACTTGTCAGTATACTCACAATAAATGCGCTTAAAGTTATAGTATATCCACTAACGGATCCAGGATTTAATTTTTTGGGGGGAGGGCTTCACCCTGAATTTTTTTTTGTACAAATGTATTAGAATAATGACTTCGGAAGAAAGAAAGAAACTAACTACCTATATGAAATGACCTTTAAGTGATTGTTGAATTCCTATTATCTGTGAGTATATCCATATTTGATAATACATACAACAAAGCACTTCTTACAGTTGAAGTTTGTTCACCTTTTCATGCTTTTATAGAACTAAGATTTCGTTGAATGCTACTCGCTTCAATAGGAGATTGAAGATTTTGGTCTCCATTATCGTCAGTATTTTATGTCCGTTTCATCGTATAATTGCCATAACCAATGAATAGCTATTGTCCAAATGGTTTGAAGGCGAAATATACATTCTCTAAGTCTTTTTCTACTTCAAAAATATGGATATAGACCGGACTGAGGTAAAAAAAAAATCTGATATGCCAGTTATTTGTTTTTTCCTCATTAAAAAAAAAAATACAACCTCTTACTTTGAGCGGTTATTTTCGACTGATTAAACCGAATGAAGAAGGAAAAAAATAAATAAAACAAAGTAACCCACCATTTTTCAATAACCACCATCTCTACCTAATACAGATTATTTTATGAAGAATATTACGCTTCTGAAAACGCTTCTAGCGGATCCAGTATTTAGTTTTTTTTTTTGGAGAGGGGCTTAAGCCCGAAAGATTTAAAAAAAAATTAAACGATAATTACGTAAGAAGAAACAGAAGGGAACTAACTACCTATATGGAATAGAGTTTAAGTGATTCTTTAAGTAGTAATAAATGTTATTAATTGAACAATAATACTTTTGGAGATAATTATTAATTTTTTTTTCATAAGTCATGATTATATTTTACCATTTTGGGGGGCGGAGGGGGGCTTCAGCCCCAAAGCCCCTTCTCCCGCCCTTGTTGAACACAAAGAGTATTGTTATAGTTAAATCGAAAATTTCCAATATGGAACAATTTGTTCTCACGACTTAACAAACCCCATTTAAGCGGTTAAGTTTCCTGACCAAAGTTAGTTTATCCAAGAAATCTCACTTTAGAAATTGGCTTTTATGTTTTAAATTGGTGTTACGGCCTAGGAATTCGATACCATGTTCGCGGAGTTTTAAAATAGCTTTCCATAGTATTACCAAGGTTACCAGGTTTCTATGTTTTGGTTTAATCTATTGATTCTTGAAGTAATATTAATGCACCAGTATTCCTCAGTGATTACTCCCAGATTAGATAACTATTAATTTGCCTAATGCATTTGATGAATAGTAAATTACATCAGGCAGTAGCGGATCAAAGGACTTAATTTTTTTTGGCGGATGGGGCTTCAGCCCGAAAGTTTTATATATTTGTATAAAAGTTTTATATATTAGAGATACGTTCTTATTATTTTTTTCATAAGATATTTTTCCATTTGGGGAGGGGGGGGGGGAATGGAGGCTTAAGCCCAAAAGGCTCTCCCCCTTGCAGAACCGTCTGTGATGTCACGAAAACATGTTTGTCTCTATATCAAAATAGTTCTATTCAACACAAAATTGGCGAAGCTTCATACTTTACCACGATTGTTGAAGTAATAATTTACTTACTAAGTGGTTAGCTTTTCCCAATGAGAAAGATCCCTGTAGTTTAATTGTTGTGCAATAACACACAGCAATCCCCGAACTTGTACTAATCCATTATTGCACTCCCTCAAAACGACACCTGGCTTATTAAAAAATATGCAAGTTTCTTTCTCTATTAATGGAAGTGCTTAAGCGATCATATTATATCTATTCTCCTCCGTCTATCTTTTCAATAGATTTTTAGTACTAAGAAGAAGTATTATAAAAAGCATTATCTAAAATTTTAAAACCTAAAGGTATCCAATGGGAACCATATCAATTAATGGTTGCTGAAAACCGCAAGAATTTTGGATTATCTTTAAAACTATACATTTTATGGCTTTAAAATACAGGATTCAGTATAGTAAATTAGAAATGATGTCTGACTTATAATTGTCCGTGGTACAGTCCCCTTTTTATCAAATTATTAATATCCGTCTGAAATATTGTAAATAATTTTATCTCATCGTAACTTACAACTATTTTAATTACGAAAACTCTTGGAATTGAGGCGTTTTCTGTCTGGTGGGTGACAAACTTCGTCTATTTGATTAGGCACTAAAAAAACCCGTAAAGAAACATTTGCTTTCTATTTGGATCGTAAGATAATTTGATCACAAGATAGACAAAAAAGGTGGTCTACAAAAATATTGGGCCGTTTGTCCTATACAACCTCGATATTTTGATTTGGGGGTGTAGGTCATGCCAAACGGCTCAATATTTTTGTAGGCCGCCTTTTCTCTATTCTGTTATGAAATTATCTTACGATAGAAGTAGAAAGCAAATGTTTATTTACGAGTTTTTAGTACCTAATTAAATAGACAAATGTTGTCACCCACTAGATTGAAAGCGCCCCAATTCCAAGAGTTTTCGTAAATAAAATGTTTGTAGGTTACGATGAGATGAAACTATTTATGAAGTTCCAGACGGGTGTTAATAATTCTATAAAAGGTGGTCAGTACTACGGACGATGATCTTTAAAATCATTCCTGGCTCAATCCGTCTATTTTTGAAACAATCTGAGTTTTGAAACCTCCCAATCTTTCCTACGGCTTTTATAGAAGCTGTAGAAATTCTAGGATCGAAATTGGGATTACTTCTCCTTGAAGTAATCCCTTATATTTGATACCTCATTCACCAAAATACACCGCTCCTGAGAGACGGAAAATACGGAAAAACCGTATTAGTGTATATAGGTGTTTTTTTCTTAGTTTTAATTTTCTTATTTTTAGGTTATTTTATTTTATTTATTGTATTTACTTTTTGATTATTATTTATAGTTATTTTGGTTCTATTTATTTTATATTTTTTGTACATAAAGTGTGAATGTTATCCTACCTCACTATAACTATTGTCCATGTGATAGATTGTTGTAATACTCAATAAAAAAACAAAAAACTACCGTATTATATATTGAACAGATTTTTTTCATTGGGTATCATGATGCGCAGATATTTGAAATCCTTGATAAAGCTGACTCCTTGGCGTATTAATTCTGGAAAAAGCTTAGCTCAGAATCATGAGAATAATTTATAATTCCTTGGATAAGAAGGGAAAATAACTTTTCCAAGAACTCCGTATTTCTGAAATGGAATATTAAGGTTGTTACTAATGGAAAACAGTCTTTAAAGTTCTCTTCAGCTCAGAAAAACTTGGGTTAAGTGATTGTTTTTCTTCGTATCGAGTGTACTTATTTTGATCAGAAAATAAAAATCACCTTTAAGACACAAATTAAATTAAATATTAATATGTATGTATACGTTATTAATGTATAATTTTTTTAATATTATATTTCTGAAGTAGCTAATTGTGCATATATATATATATATATATATATATATATATATATATATATATATATATATATAGTAAGGAAATAATTAGTTTTTATGATGCTCTCCTGTAAAACACTTAATTTTTACGTACACTAACAGTAGTGTGATATACATACTATTGTAATTTTTTTTTTAATCACAAATCATCAAATATGAAATCTGCAAATGCGGGACTCTTTCGCATTTTAGTAGTTGCTGATAAACAAGACTCGTTGATATCATGCTCGTGTATGTTGAGAGATTTCTGAATTTCCGAAAATGGCTTCTTTCAGAGATTTTATTCTCATACAAACAATTTTAGACCTTGTAATATAGGTATTTTTTAGCCAATTAAAACGGTGAGGAAGCTTTATTTTGCAGTCGTTTTTTAAATTTTTTTTGTAAGGCAAAATGTCTAATGAATTTTGAGAATAAAGATGTTTCGTTACTAATAGTTGACTAGAATATTCTCCACCTTCTACTTCAGACTCAAAATATATAATATGGATTACAACAAATGTATATTTATGATATAAAAAGTATTACTCAAGAATTATTGTTATTGTCAATTGCAAAAATTTCGTTCAAAAATAATGATTTTTTTTTTTCATTTATGATCAAAAATAAAAATGTTCTCTAATAAAAATCATGAAATGATTTTTAAGAATTTTAATCAGAGTTAATTTTGATTTTTTTAATTATCGATTTCAAACCCTGATGAAGAGTTAAGCAGTATTTTGGACGTACTTCTTTTATTATTTCTGGAATATGGTTATGTTTTACTAACATGATTCCAACAGTTTAATTTGGAAATATATATTTTGGATCCTTTGTAGAATTTTTTAATTATTATGAATGCTGGCCGCTCATGATATTAATCTCTTTGGCGACCGTTTGTCTAATGTCTGCTTCGAAGACTAAATTGAAAATCCTTCTTCCTGGAAATCATTTTAATAAACTGAAGTTGAAGTTTTTCTTCATCTTTTCTTTTAATATAGATTTTAATCGGTATCGTCCTCAGAGCGGAAGAGGAAGATATTGGATTGGCTCGAGAAACTTCAATTAAGTTCTAAATAATTTGGATTCTGTAAAGTTACTTTTTTATTTTAGCTACAGGAAATTTCTTTTAAGCTCTACCGTTATTGTTAAAAAAATATTCATTCTTATCTTTAAATTAAAATGGATTTATTTGTTATTTTATCGACTTCGCTCGCGAATATTTCATTTACTCCATTACGTTTTAATTTACTATGGTAAGGCTTAATTTAATGGCAAGGAGAACTGTAAATCTTATAGTAACTTTTAATGAAAATTCGAATTGTTAAAGAAGTATTTAATTTTATAGTATCACATTTTGCTGAGAATAGCACATCAATAATTTTCACTGACTCAAAATTGAATACAATATTTAAACAATTCAAATAAAATAATTCATTGATATCATTCTTTTATATTTATA